CAAACCCAGGTCAGTCAGGCCAGGCAGGATCCTGCAAGATCCTGCAGGATCCTGCAACCAAGCCTGGGTCAGTGACCCCCTGGCTCTGCAGGATCCTGCAAGATCATGCGCTCGACTGACCCCCGTTTGCATGGACTCCCGTCTCTTGAGCCGCGACAGGGGCAGAGGTCCAGATCTTCGGAGGCCCATGGTGAAGAGACAGCCACGACGCGCTGGAACTCTCGGGACTCGCGCGCCGATCGCGGCGGCCTGCCTGGAGCCGATTTCCCCTCTCACCCCTCACGGTGAGAGAGCTCGCCCCGTGCTGCTGCTGCTGCTGCTGCTGCTGCTGCTGCTGCTGCTGCTGCTGCTGCTGCTTCTCTTCGACATGCTCTCGAGCTCGTGCTCATCAGCCACCTCCTCAAGACGCAGATACCGTCGGCCGAGTCGTCGTTGTGCGAGTGCGGCCGTGGACCGCCCCCAAGACCGCCGACAAGCCAGGTAGCAGTAGTGTAAGAGAGAGGGGGGGTGGAACGACGAACACGGCGGGGACGACAGGAGAGCTGCGACTAAAGCAGAAGGTGAGAAGGCGGGGTTCTAGGCGCGTATGTGCGCTGGCGGTGAGGCAATGCTCGTAGGGAGGTGGCCCGAGCGTGCGCCCAACCATCCCGGGGGGGTCGGGGGGGGTCCACCTCCTCCCTCTCCTGCTCCTTCTCCTCCCCCAAGGTACAAAACACTTCGTTCGAATTGCGAATCAATCGATTGGGTCACTTTGAGGTTCCAGGCCCGCGAGAGCACCTGTCGGCGGATAGAAACGAATCACCGCAACGGGAAGGGGTGGGCAGGTGGGAGGGGTAGGTTGCCAGTGGGCGCGCACACGGATGTGCGCGCACACGGATGATGCGCGCGCCAAGCGCGCTGGCCCGGGCGAGAGCGAAGCCTCCGCCAGCACCAGAAGCGCGAGGGTGCGCCGAAAGCGACGCACTTTTTGCCGTGGAGCGCGCCGTGTGTGTCCCCCCTGCGCGCGACCTGCAGCAGCGTCTTCGGGAGGCTCGTCCGTCCTCTGTGTGGGCTCGGCGCGCCAAGCGCTCGCGGCGGCCCCTAATTAGTACACGGGCCGGGCACCGTCGCGGAGGGGAGGGGGGGAGAAGTGAGAAAAGGAGGAGGAGGAAGAGGAGGAGGAGGAGAAGGAGGGGTGAAGGAGGTGGAGGGGAGGAATGGGGGGAGGTGGAGGAGGGCAGGAGGAGGTTGAGAGAAGAAAGGGGGGGGAGAGGGCATATCGTCGCAGGCTGCGGCCGCCCGAGACGCCCCTTCGCCCCCGCCCCGCCCCTCTGAGGTGCGAGGCGGGGGTGTACCCACCGGGCCACCCGACTTCGCGCATCGCGCCCTGCGATGCGCGACGCGCGACTACCTCCGCGCCCTCGCGCCGCATCTCCCCCCCCCCTGACCCACTTCGCCCCCCCCCCGCCCCTCTGGGGTGCGAGGCGGAGATGTACCCACCGGGTCACCCGACTTCGCGCAGCGCACCCCGCGATGCGCGACGCGCGGTCGCCTTCGGCTACATGCAAGGCTGGCCCTGGGTGAGAGTGACCTTTGGTGCGCGGGCTTTTTGGGGGCCGCGGGGGGGGGCCAAACACGAGGGCGCAAGACGCTACTATCGCATCGCGCTCGGCGATCGGGGGGCCCTACTGGGCCCGCACCCTTAGCTGTCCTCAACATGTTGGGGGCGTTTGTTGTTCCGTTTTCAATGGTTCGTGTTGCGGTTGGCAAACCCCATAACAAAACAACGGCAACCCAAAACATAACAAAAGCGACACCGGCCGGAACCAAAACGAGCGAAAACCGGCAACCCAAAACATGGAAAAAAGCAACCCAAAACAAACATCAATTGACACAGACGGGAAACACAACAAAGCGGCAGTTTGAAACAATTTGAATGCAGCCAGATCGTACAACAAACCGAAAACGGCGAGACGGCAATCCCAAAACATAGAAAAAAATGGCTCCCCCAAAAGAGAACAAACGTCGATCTTGAAAACAAAAAACGCCCGCAGCGTTTTTAAGAACATCGACGCCCGCACCACATGTCACTCCAGCGAAGGGTCACTCTTACGTCTAGCCGATGTCTTCGCGCCCTCGCGCCGCTGCCCCCCCTGGCCACTGGAGCAGGGCACCAGCTCTGGCCCAGGCCGCGAGGCGCCAAGCGCGGTCACATCTCCGCGCCCCCGAAGGTCACCCGGATCCATCACCACCGCCTGGGGGCTCGAAGTTCGGGCACCTCCCCGCCCATCAAGGGGCCCGCATCGGAGGGCTGGGGGTTGAGGTCGCAGTGGAACGGACAGCCCCCCACGGGAAAAAAATCGGTGTCGGTCTCGTGTTCGTGTGGTGCGTGCGGTCGAGGCGGAGCTGCGTGGGCGCGCGAGAGGAATGATCCCGTCGTTGCTAGGGCGATCCGGATGCAGCAGTCTGGCCCTCTGGTTGCGACGCGATGGCTCGGGGTGTCCCGCCGTTGTCCCGATGGTGCCCCGCGGTGTCGCGCCGTGGTGTCCCGATGGTGTCCTGATCGATCGTGAGATCGATCGTGAGATCGATAACGACCGAGACGTGATAAGATCGAGAGTGCTATCGAAAATTGAATCGATAGTGAGGTCCATCTTGATATTGGTAGTTGCATCGATCGTGCGAGCGGCAGTGACATCGTGGCACAACGTCGTCATCACGCGTCGCCGCCAATTTGAGGGCTCGCAAGCAGCATCTTCATCATCACACCCATCGCAATTGCCTGCAGATGATTATTCCCCTCCCTCAAACATCCTTATCACCCGAATTGTGGACGTGTAGGTACACATATAGATCGGAGGTTGGGGGGTGAAATCGCAATGGAACGGAGACCCCCAATCCAGAAATCGCTTCGTTTCGTGTCGTGCGTGCGGGCGAGGCGAAGCTGCGTGGGCGCGCGAGAGGAATGAACCCGCCGTTGCTGGGGCGAAGTCAAGGCAAATGATTCTCCCCCTCCCGCCCGTCTGGCGGTCCGTCTGGCGGTAGCCACCGCAGTGTCCCGTGGTGTCCGCCGTTGCTAGGGCGAAATCAAGACAAATGCTTCTCCCCCGCCCGCCCGTCTGGAGGTGGCTCGCGGTGTCCCGCGGTGTCCCGTGGTGTCCTGTGGTGTCCTGTGGTGTCCCGTGGTGTCCCGTTGAGTAAAATCGATAGTGAGATCGATAGTGAGATCGATACTGAGATCGATGTGGTGCCCCGAGGTGTCCCGCCGTGGTGTCCCAAAAAGTGAGATCGACAGTGAGATCGATAGTCAGATCGACAGGTGTCCCATGGTGTCCCGTGGTGTCCCATTGAGTCAGAACGATAGTGAGATCGATAGTGAGATAGATACTGAGATCGATGTGGTGCCCCGAGGTGTCCCAAAAAGTGTAATCGATAGTGAGATCGATAGTGAGATCAACAGGTGTCCCGTGGTCGGAGGATCGCGCCGCATCGCCGATGCATTGACGATGCGGCTCGATGTGGAGCCCGTGTTTCCCCACACTGGCGTCGGCGATGCATCGCCGACGTCGCCGATGCATCGCCGATGCACCGCCGATAGTTACATCGGCGATGCATTGGGGATGCGGCATGATTCGTCGACCCCATCTGCTCGGACCTTATCCAGGAGGCCTCTATCATCTCGGGTCGGACGAGGGGGGGGCATATAGGCTATATAGGAGAAGGAGGGTCTATAGGCTAGATAGGGGAGGGGGAGGTAGATAGGATATGTTGGGGAAGGGGGGTGGGGGGTGCAAGCTCCCGTGCCTGCAACTGACGTGGGCCCCGCCTCTGGCCGCATTCCTGGGCTGGTGCCCTCGGCGCCGGCAGGCGCTGGGAGAATCAGCTTCTTGAGCTGATTCCCCCACGCCCTCGGCGGTCCCGTCCTATGGTCCGCCCCGGTCTTCGGCGCCACGGATCCTAGGCGGGGGATGGTCCATGTCCACCACCTGGGGAATCCACCCTCGGTGGCTCTGGGGCTTGCGGCGAATCTACATATACATATGCCTGTATGCATTTCTATATCTATACGACCGCCCTTCGGGGGATAAGGAGGTTGTGGGGGGGGTGGAGAGGGGGGGGGAACCAACATCTGACTCAATCGATCTCACTATCGATCTCACTCAACGGGACACCACAGGACACCACGGGACACCTCCGGACACTTTTCGATCTCACTATCGGTCACACTATCGATCTCACTATCGATCTTACTCAACGGGACACCACGGGACACCACCGGACACCTGTCGATCTCACTATCGATCTCACTCAACGGGACACCATAGGACACCACGGGACATCTCGGGACACCACATCGATCTCACTATCGGTCTCACGATCGATCTTATTCAACGGGGCACCACTGGACATCTAGGAGGCCTAGAGATGAGGGAGCCAAGAAGATTCGAGCAGGGAATTGGCTACCGATTTGACTTGCCCCAGGGTGGAGCTGTTCGTCGCATGTGCGGAACACATGCCCAGAACGCGCCGTAGATCTACGAACTTTCTCGAACTTGTTTCGCACACTCGACGAACAAATCAATCTAGGATACATCAATTCAGCGACCACGGGCGATAATAGTCACCGGGGGATAATGAAGTTTGGGGGGGTGGCGGGGATAATAAAGGATTCTCCCGGGGAAGATAAGTTCTGATGATGATGCTGCTGCTAGTCAACATGAGATGGTAGCAACTTCGATTCGCAACTTCTCCCGTGGATTAAAATTCGGCCTCCGCGCCCTTCTCCACAGTTCAATCCTGTGGAACGGGGATACTAAAAATGGAAGGGGTGAAGGGGGGGGGGTAGGCTTCCTTTCTCGCCCGTGGTAGGTTATGTGGCAGATCCCCTACTCGAAAGGAAGGCAGTAGATCCCCTACTCGAAAGGAAGGCAGTAGAAGATCCCCTACTCCAAAGGAAGGGGGGTGGCAGCGCATCGTGATGGCCGGCGCGCACCCCGCCGCGCGCTCCGGCGGCGGGAGGGCCCGCGGCGAGCGGCCCGGCGGCGCAGCCGCGCGGCCCGCCCTGCGGCCTCGCCGGAGGCCCTGGCGGCGACGAGAGAACGCCTCGGGCCCTCGACCTACGTGTAGGGAAAGCGAGCTCTCTGCACCGACGCCCTCTCCGGCCCCGCACTGCAGGGCGCACAGGAACGCGGATCCCGGTGTGTGCGGAGCCCGGTGTATGCAGTTTTCGCTGCTTCCCGGGGACAGCAGGGAGAAAAGTATAAACAACACCACCCCTGCGTCGTCCCCGACCCTCAGAAAGCCCTGGGATTGAAAAACAGCCCGCCACTGGTAATATATGTATATATATACGTTTATATATATATATATATATGCTCTCGACCTTCGTGGGGTCCCGAATCGCGGAAAGACGCCTACGATGGCCCCACGACGCCTTCGAGACGCCCCAAGACGCCTTCCCAAGAGGGCCCCGAGAGCCAAACATGAATGGTTCCCCTCAGTGCCTGGGGTTATCGTCTCCTCGAGCTCCAAGACGGCCCAAGAGGCCCGGTAGACCGCCCCAAAACTGCCCACGGCCCCGACGCCCTGGAATCGACAGGGTCGTTTCTTCACCGGTTCCGTTTTGCAGTTTTCGTTGCCGGTTCCGACGCCGTTTCTGTTGCCGGTTCCGTCGCCGTTCGTCCGCCGGTTCTGGCTCCAGCTCCAATCATGGAGCCGTAGTTGTTGCCGTTTCCAGTCGCCGTGTTTTTGGCCGCTTCCATGTGCAAGAGACACTTTTTTGGGAACGGTGAAAAAATGGCCCTGCCGTTTCTGGGACCCACTGAGCTCTCGACCACGGAGGCAAGCTGCGTTGCATCTTCAGGGGGCCTGGTCTGTCCTGTGAACGGCGGTCCTTTCTCGTGTCCGACGCGATCGCCGACGCGGATTTGACGCGAATCTGGCGCGGATGCAACATGAATTCGACACGAATTCAGCCACAACAGCGACGCGATGCGACAGACAAGGTTCCACGATGGTGCGGCCAGCTGGTAACCCTCATCATCCAGGAGGGCCGACAACAAAATAGCACCTGAAACATGTGGAATCGAACATCCCAGCGGAGAATTCAAGGAAACCCTGGTCGGGCGATCAGATCCAGGGGGCTCTGCTTCGTTGCCCTCTGGGGGATGCGGGACAAAAGGGGGGGGGTTAACGCACCGGCTGCACGGAGAGCTGTTCCTCCTGGCGCCTGGGAGGCGCCAGAGGTGGCCGTCGTGCATCGCGGGAAGTGCTTGGGCGGCGGGGCGGAACCAGCTGCATGCAGCAGGTCTCGGACCCCCACCCCATGGCCACCTCGCCCTCCATCCTCCGACCACACACTCTCACCCCATCGGGCCTCACGGCGCCTTCGAAGGGCAACGCTCGGAGGAGGGGGGAAGTGCTCACGGGGCGAGCCGTTGGCCTGGAAGCGGCGGCGCGCACATCGCCAAAGGATCGGCGATGGGCCATCGACGGCGAATGCGCAGGTTCCTGGGCCCCGGGGGTTGTCGGGCCGCTTTCCTCGGAGTCACCCGGCGGCTACTCGGGACGATGCAGGGCAGCCCCGGGAACGCTCTCGGCGAGGCGCAGCCGCCGAAGGCGCCCCGAAGCTGAATAGCCGCCGAGAACCGACGGAGACGCCCGGAAATCGTGAACCGCGAATCCCCTCCCGAGCCTATACCCACCCGACGTTGCCCCTGACTCTCGTCATCCTTCCGGGGGGCGCCCGTGGAGTACTGTGTGGGACATGCTCGCGAACGGGAGCGTACCGTAGATAGACAGATCTACCCTTGCCCCGACCTTGTGCTGCGCCGAACGCAACCACCGCGTTCTATAGACGTATCCGCCCCGAGTGTGTCGAGATACGCGCAGGAACACCCAGTGTAACAGAAGGCGCTCGTGAACAGGAGGTGAGAACGGTATCTGGCATTCGGCATGGGCCCCAGGCAGTCGTCCTCGAGAAGCCGGTAGACTGTGCCCTCCAATTGGCAGCCCCCCCGGCGGGGGCCTTTGAGACCTCGCCGCGACGGCGCACCCCGCAAAGGGGGGGGGCGGGAGCGCCCTGGGCGCGTGGGCGCGACGGTACAGCTCTTACATGACCAGGCCGACGTCTCGTTGGATTGTCTGCAGATGAACTGCGTGCTTCGAGATTCGGAGTTGCAAGCAACTGCATAATGGGGGCTCGATCGTTTTGATCATGGGGGCTCTGTCTCCGTGGGGGTTGGAGTTAGCCCAGGCGGAGGTGGGATGGCCTGGGTGGAATTATCCCAGAGGGGGGTGTTTGGAATTGACCACATCACTCTCCTCCTCCTCCTCCTCCTCCTCCTCCTCCTCCTCCTCCTCCTCCTCCTCCCTCTCCCCGTCCCTCCTCCTCCTCCACCGCCTCCTCCTCCTCTTCCTCTTACTCGTGCCCTCCTCCTCCCACCTCATCGCCTCACCTGCGACCTCATCGCTTCACTCCCCCTTCTTGAAGCAGGAGGAATGAGGCGAGGACGACGACGA